GGGTTGTGTTCCGTGGTGTGTTGTGATTACCGCGTACGTGTTCGACAAATACCTGTAGAACATTAGGACATTTAAAATGGTGAGCAATCATCGACTGAATGGATTTGCAACAGGAACTAATCGTCGTTGTTTTATCGAATGTTTGGTAATGTATTCTACACACATAGTCACATTGCAATAATTAAATTGAACTTTGCTGGGAAGTATGATAACTCTACTGATCAATTTCGTTAGAGAGCAATATTTTCTTATCTATCCCAGTGGATTTTTGTTGATCAGGTCTGTTCGGTTCAAAACTCTGCTCGATTGGTCCCTTAGCAAGTTTTCATTAAATCCCAGCTCTTCAACATAATTAACTTTCTTAGAAATACACTTTTCCTATGGGATTTAAACGGGTTGTATTATTCTTGCATAATTTGGTCCCACTAACTGTCCTAGTGGGGCGTCGTGCAATGTGTAAACGTATCTAGCCATCCATTCATCCTTCCTCTCATCTATCTATCTATCTATCTATCTATCTATCTATCTATCCAGTCAGCTATCAGACAGCCATTTATTAAGAGCTAGTTCGGATAGCTTAAGTGGTTAGCGTACCGCATGAATCACCCACTTGTGATCAGTGTGGATTTTGTCCATGTGAAATTCTTTAATTGGATACAACGACCATATGACACTGTCAATACCATACAGTCATGAGTGAGTGGCACGAAACACGTCTAACGGTGGTGCACATGGAAATGATATCTTTTTTCTCACATTTGTTTGCCATATGCACATAATCTCCATTCTGTGATTGACATATGTCATTCTTATTTCATGTCATAAATGTTGACTCGCACAGTTGATTGTTTGTGTCTGGTTTTTATCGCGTGAGCCCAATCTGGCCCGTCAGATACTTCAGCGTTTCTCTTTATTTAACAGTGACACTTGCCCCCAACCCCAACTGATCCCACCGTGGTAATGCACGGGTCCTGTAACTATACCAGTCGAGTAATTATGTGTAGGAAACATTATCTCTAATCTGTCGATCACTATCTGCCTGGAATAGAAAGCAATCGTCTGGGTAAATAATAGCCACCTATGGGGGTAAGTGACGAAACAGCAATTTGCATATTTCCTTGCACATTAGTATCACAGTTATCCACTGCATATTCTTAAATTTCACAGATCATTTATGGCTAGGATTTCGCCGTTGTTTGTGTCGCGTGGTAGCTAAAATCTGTAACTTAGTAAGCACACTTTAGAATGACTGATGCTGCGCGAGCACGAGACGATATGCACGGGATAGCTCCCTCTTTCAGTTCAGCTAATGACTTTTAATTACGTGCATTACGGATTGCACAAGCACGGGTATAAATTAACCACAAAAATACATTCATAAATTTCGTTTTTCATTTCTCTATTCGAATGACCACTGATCAATTAGTGCTATTCCGTGACGGAGTTCTGTTCAGTGGTCGTTTTAAATCGATTTCTTCATAAAAATGGGGGACAATTTAAAAGCTGTCATCCTTAAGTAGTCGTTGGCATTTTTATCGAAAAGCTAAAGCTCTCAATCAGTTCGCCCTACCTATCGTTGTGTCATACAGTCCTCTTTTATCTAGGAAATTCATTGGTGTATGGTAGACGTAGTATGCGAGTTACAATCCTACGTTACGGAATCGAAAGAATGTTCTTTTGTTTCAGACGATAATTATCATCTGAGAACTGGACCTATCTCTTGCCATCGTTTCGCTAAGTCAGAAACAGCAACACTCCTGCGAAGTGGCGTTTCTCACGAAAAGGTCTTTCTGGAGTCCATTATTGAAATTGCATTTGGCCATTTACACGAATGCGACTTTTGTCGTTCACCAATTTTTAAATTACAATTAGAGTATGACTACTCATCAGTAAGAAAGCGTGTAATACCGAAAACAATTATTTGTTAGAAAGCGTGCAATCTAGCGTAATCCAATCCGTTTTATCCGGGACAAGATTATTCTTAGCTCCTTTTGCTAATAATCATCATTCGAAAATCATACATGGTCAGAATTGTTGCAGTAGAATCTTGTGGGGTTCAAACCTACGAAAATGTATTTTTTGAAGCTGCATGGGAGAGTTTAACTAATGAATCCTACAATCGTAGCGATCAATGAGGCAAAGCAAGCGAAAGCATTCAAATTCTAAGCCGCGAGATAAACGTCTTGCAACCCTCCAAGTTTTCATAGCGATCCACAACGATTATGGACATTTTTATAATGGTTGAGTTGAAATCGAAATTTGAATTTTCTTCAACTCATCATTTACTTCCATGAAGAAAGGTAAATTAAATCATCCCGTGATAACAGTACGGTTTCCTTGGAGTTTAATGCACACCGGGTAAATTAGAAGTGCGGGGCTATGCTGTTTCGTTTCGGAAGCTTGATGAGCGTTTTGGCCTCACATTCTATAAGTTTTCGGAACCTATCCTCCTCTCTGAAAAGCCGTTCAATCTTCAGAGTGCTCTACGGCTCATCATTCGATTTGTATATTCTCTAATTGTGATGCAAACTTGGAGTACATTTGTACATTTGGTGCAACCTTAGCTCAATCCGCATGACGAATAAAACAGCGCACCGAATTTTTTAGAGCATGCGGATGTGGTTCATTCTTCCCTTTTCCTTTGCTTCAATACAAACGTCCACAAAGTAGTTTCATAACCAAATTTGTCAGTCAAACAGATTACCTTTTTTGGCCTTATTAGGTTAAAATGTGAAGCATGTTGTCTGCTGTGTCTACGCCACATTTATCATAATTGTAGTGAACTACAGCAACTGAGGCGGACGCTTTTTTGAGGTACTGATTTGAAATGATAAACTCGAGGCCATTCGGTAATGCAGGCATCTGTTTTTAAACAACTTAGCACCTCGGAAACAGTGAGCATGAGTTAATGACTCATGGGAATGAAGTGAATGATCATCTCTCACTCGATGGAGCAGGATAAAACGCAGTAGTTTTAAAATCAGGAATTTCCCGAAACCATTTATCTGAACTTATTTCTGTGTGGGAACCATTTTGAATGCGCAATGGTGATTGACCGATATACTGTTATTATTTCATCAGCCTAGAGACTCCGTGTTCGAATCCTGTCATTCACTTACCCCACCCACCCCTTATGTCCCTTAGAAGTCGTTCTCCCAAGGCTAACTTCTTTTTTTGTATCTAGGTTGTGTAATTAGAAGTAGAGAAGGATTTGATACAATTATAAGGCAATTTTGTAAGGTATAGCGAAAATGAACTATGAACTGAAAAGCTAGGAATTAATAGATAGCTGTTTTTATCTGGGTGGGTCTCATTGCACTCAACACTTTCTCTGCATCTGAAAATCGTTAATGTGTAACTAACTTGATTTTGGCTCTGGACGATTGGACTCTTGCTATGGACCAAGCAAAAAGGGGTAGATTTTATTTATCTGGGAGTATTCATTCGCGCAGACTTGAGTCGCATCACAAACTAATTTCTTTGATAGTTTTCACTGAACAATTCCCAACAGACGTGCACCAGATACTGCTGCTAGGAGTGTGGGGTGAGAATGGGCCCGTCTTTTTGCTGTAAACAACAGAACTCGTATTTATACGTGTGAGATGAATGCATGTTCAACATGACCACGCGTTAGCCGAAAAACAAAACACCCTAATAACATGCAAAAGTTTGGTGTTTCTCCTTCCTCGTGAATAAGTTGATTCAAATCAGGAACCATTTATGTTCGATGACCTCTGTTAGGAAAGTTACCGTTCGAGGGAAAGTTTACCGCGAAGGATTCCGAAAACATTGAACAACGAAAACAGTATGCGAATCTGTGTTACGTGGAACGGTTGTCCAATCGGTTTGACCATGTGCTGCACGGGTCAGGCAAGTGACATTCGTTGTGCGCATGATGAGCGAACAAATTCTTTTTATCTACTGGATCAAATCAAGTGTCTTGTTTATAATGCGGTTTAGAGGAACAAATTGAATTGCTCAAGACGAATTGACGTGTGTAGAAGGAAAGAATTAAACGGAGGTGTACGGCAAATCACGCATGTAGACTCATTCCGGACTCCGAATATCGTCTGAATCAGGTTTTAGTTGACAAACAAATGGATTTTTTACACGGTTCATTTACTAATTCTGGTTGATTAAAAAAGGAGTATTCAGTAAGCAAAGTTTTGAGGAGCTGTTTCCCTGTTGCATCGAGTGAGGATCTATCAGTATGGCTCGTCATTCACCAACTCCAATGCAGATTGAACTGGAGAACTGGATATTGCTAGTTCGACACATTGACCGACCTGGTCTATATGGGATAGCTTTGAAGAGCTTGTTTGATGTTGGCGCCATTTGGCAAAGCATCCGTACATTAGAGCCATGATTTCACCATACACTGCTGAACACTTTAGTTAGGCCAGGAGAATTCATCAAGTTAGGAACCGTACCAAATTGAATTTAGAAACTAGCAATAAAAAAAATCATTATGCTTTTCACAATGTTCCTGTACAGGTACTCCGCTTGGATCTGTGTTTTGTTGCACTATGCCAGTTGTGAGTGTGCATAAATTGGTTGCATAAGTCTAACAATTATTAGCAGTTATCCTTTTGGATAAACACAAAAATGGTTTGGATTACCGGACTGGACGTGAAACAAGTTCGACCGAGTAACTACCATTCGCACTATTGAATGAAGAAATCTATACAGTATCGGACAGGTATCGGATTTGGAAAGAGGGGTCAAGGTTGGTCGCTATCCGAAATGTCGTCCGTTCTTGCCCAGTTGTTTTACTCAGGTAGGAAACATTAACGGATGTGAACGCAGTACACGGAAAAGGTACAGTCTTTTTCGAGATAGATCGCATCGAAATATACCATACTGTCATGTAAGCAAACAATTTTTATCGATTCAGCTAAATTAAGAGAAACTGACAACGCTGCTAAAGTCTTGGACGACATGAATTCGTGTGAGTTCAGATTATCTGTCGTCAATTAGTGAACAATTTCACCTTCAGTTAAATGAATACCATTGAAGAATCGTATCCGTATTTCAAATCCGGTCGAGAAGCATTTGATGGACAATGTTTGAGCAATGTCCCGAAAGAACATCATCCCAATGAATCAAATCTACAGGTAAGCATAGTCAGACAATCCGCGCATTGATAACTCGATGCGCAAAGAAGTCAACATGCAGCAAACTATAATTACATTTGACTGGGTTGAAGAAAAACGTTCACAAGAACATTTCGAGAAGTCAAAAATTCAAGTTGATTTATTTATCTTCGTAACAAATCACAAACCAATATGCAGCGTGACTTTGACCATTTTCTCTCCGCGCGGCAAACCGGTCCGATACTTGGATGGCAGACACATCCAAATGTTACACTGTCAGCTGTTCAGCTGTCTGATGTGTGCATTATGGAACGATTGCTGATCTCGGTGGGATTTGAACTCACGTATGGACGCCGCTCATCCATATAAAAGCGAACTCTCTACCAAATGAGTAATAAGGCTACTCCGGGAACATTGGTCTTTAAGCACGTGGATCATCCATCTCGTAGCCTGGTTGGCAGAGTCCTAGCCGGAAAAATGCTAGGGTTCGAATTCCACCGAGACTACTACTAATCCTTTTATACTTCACACAAAACAGCTGTCGTCTTCCGTTGTCTGATAAGGAACACATCGGAGTTTGTCGTGCGCTGTTTTCAGGTTTCTAAACTGGGGTTATAGACATTTGGGAACATATTCACGCTGCTGATTACGATTCCTTTCTATATCCTGTTGCGTCTTCAAGCCAAGGATAATATAGATGTTTAATTCCAACATGGCGTAAGGTCCCGCCGGGACATAGACCTACACCCAGTTTCTTAATCACTCTGTGCAGCTGGTGTCTACCGTTGGTGTGCCTCCGAAAGCCTCAGTATGGTCGGGTGTGGGTGTCTAAGGTTGTGGCTGGTCACCCTTCCCTTACACCTCGCGAAATGTTCCCATACGACCAGGCGTCTCAAATAGCCTCTACTGAGGAAGTCCTTCTCACTGCCTTCTCGTGACGGAGGTGTTCTCCCACAAAAAGTGAGAGGGTGAAAAGCCGACATCTGGAGTGATAACAGATTTGGTGGATCACTGACAGTTCACCTAGGGGAGTTGGCCAAAAACCCTGGTTTCGAACCAACCAAGAGGAGGCGTAAAACTCAACCCCACATCTTCTCGGTTGCGGCCGTGGTCACCGACTGGATTGGACATTGAGTTGTATTGGGTACCTTGGATGTTTGACTCCGTTCGAAGTGCGTATGATCCGAAGACCAGGACAGTGGCCCCCAATGGACTGCGTTTTTCACACACCGCCCCACTGTCCTGCTTGATATATAGTTAATAATAATAATAATAGTGGACAAACACAGTAATCTGTAAGTGGTAATTACGTCATGAGGTGAAACACCCCTGAAGCAGAGAATACCGGAAAGATAACGGGCAAGATATACGAGACTTTGAGAAGTGAGGTGTCATTTGGTTTTGGATATTTCATTTTTATCGTATCTTTGGAAGGATCACACTAGGAGGATTTTGGTTATATGGGGAAAAGGCCCGCCAGAAGACACCTCGTCATTCTAAACCTGCACGTTCTCGATCGTCGTTTTAGGGTTCAGATTGAAAAGGATAACGCTAGATTGGCACGGGATGCAGATCACGGGTCAAACAGTCCTGCCGAGGACAGATTGAAATACAGTTCGGTGGGCACATCATCTACTTACCGCCAATCAATACGAACACTTGGATTGCTGACGGGGAGTAACGAAAGGAAGCAGACTGGCTCCCCCGAACCGCGCCGAAATTGACTGAATGAGCCACGAAACATTTGGGACCGCGCGGGGTGATTTGGGCGAGGCGAATGACCTATTCAAGTAACCCGTTCAAGAATTTCG